AGGTACAAGTGCTACACAGACACTGCCAGAGGTCTCAGTGACAAAATAGCAACCTTTTCTTACTGAGAAACCACAATCTTATTGACATGAGGGAGATTTTTCACCATGGAAAAAAATTATTATTTTTTATTAGAAAATAATCCATGCCTACTAAAGTATTAGAACATGAAATGTGAATATTAAGTCTATTTGGCACTTCCCTGCTGTACCTAATATACAAGAATTTCCCACATTTGTACGTAGTAAAGGTGAACACTTTATACATCAACTTACTTTTAAAAGGTATTTTTATATAATAATGCATTTTAACATGACTAACAGATTCATACTGGAAAGGGTTAAACTGGGCAGCTCCTTGGAGGCAAGGATTCTGAGGCTCTGTCTAACATACTTTGGACATGTGTAAGGAGGGACCAGGTCCTTGGAGAGGGACATCATGCTTAGGAGGGTGGAGGGACAGCGCAGGAGGGGAAGGCCCTTTAGGAGATGGATTGATTCGGTGACTGGGGTAGTCGGGATGGGAATGTCAGAGACAGTGCAACTGGCACAGGACAGAGCAGAGTTTAGGGCTGTTGTACATAGGGTTGCTATGAGTCACAAGCGATTCAATGGCACATAACAACAACAACAAATTATTTCCATATTCATTCATATAACCTCATCTTCTCTCTACTGTCTATCTGGTTGTTGTTGTGTACCATCAAGGCAGAACCACCTCTTGCTGACCCTACATTTTCAAAGGCAATAAATCTCAGTGGGAGGAGATTGCCCATCCTTCTTCTGTGGAGCAGCTGATGGATTTGAACCACATGCCTTTGGGATTGCAGTATAGCTTCTTAGGCCACCAGAGCTCCATTAAGTTCAATTTATTACAGTCTCAATAACTAACTAGGACTCTGCCAGGGCTCCTTTCTGGGTTAGGAGTCAAGTTTGAGTGAATAGCCTTCTTCCCACCATTATATATTGATGTTTGACTTTTCAAATACTCGTGGTTGAAAGATTCCCTGAGCACAGCGTTACCAGGCTATTGTGCTTGGGATTGCTATGAGTCAGAGCTGACCCCACAGCACCCAACAACAGGTGGTACCGTCCGCATGTTGCTGCTGGGGCTATAGGCCCCTGGACGGTGCACGTGGTTCCTGGGGAGGGTTGCCTGCGTTGGTTTTTATGCACAAAATCTCATAGGACGGAAATGGCCCTTCAGTTTGCTTGCTAAGGGAAATGGCTGTTCCTCAGCTCTTTATAACTCTGCTTTTGTGGGGGAGATAAAGACTTTTTGTTCTGAAATCCAGTGGACACAGAGTGTCAGATCTGCCACTGTCATTAGCATGCGGTATATGGGAGAGCCCTGGATGCCATGCTGACCAGAGACTCCCTGAGCCCTGCTTGGAGGAGGTGACTCTGCCACTTGGTGCCCTGGCCTCCAGGGCACTGCCAGGTCCTTAGATTCACTGACACCCGGGTTCTGTGCTGGTGTTCACAGGACCTGAGAGAGTGAAACAAAAACCTGATGTCTGTGGCATGATCCTTTTTTAACAGGGTCAGCAAATCCTCTGTGAGGCCACAAAGGTTGTTCAGTAAAAGCAGCTGTGGGCAATACGCAAAGCAACAGCCATGGTTGTGTGCTATGAAAACTGCATGGATCCAGAAATCTCCAATAAACAGAAGCGGCATGCATCATAATACAGTATTCTTCTTTTCATCATTAGAAAATAGGTAACCCCATTGTTCCCCTGATGCTGTTCAAAACAAACACAGGCCACATCTGGCACCTGGGAAGGAGTAGCCATAAGTTGGATACATGGTATCTTGACTTCTTCATTTTGATTCAGTACAGTTGGCTCATTGTGTCACTGAAAAATGAATTTTTCTGGAGGGAACCACAGTGCTATGAATTATTCATATCCCCGGTTCGTAACACCCAATCTTCGCTGGTCTCTGTGTGACCCTCCCCCCATCTTATATGTGTGTTTATTATTTGTTCCTTTTTATCATCATTTCTTATTTTTATCTCCCTTTGGCATCAACCCTGATGTGTGTCCTTTATTTCATAGAATCTCTTTTGGGCTTTTGTTGTTACTTTTTAAAAGTTATCTTTCTAGTACGGTTCTTACAAAGGGTGCATGCGTGCAGGCATTTTTAACTTCGACAAGAGCATTGTGTTGCATGGCTCATTCCGAGTTCTGAGCTCCACACTGTCTCTTACCCTCCCCTGCTGCTGTGGGAACACGAAGTCCTTGCTTCTACCTGCTGCATCAGGCTTCACAGATGAATCTTTCACATTTTATTTCCATTTTCAAAGACTTACTCTTGAGTACTATGTTTTATTGTTGGGTTTGTTGGGGTTTCTTAGCTAATACTTATTTGGAAATCTCTGTCTTTTGCCCTTAGAAGGGAAAGCACTTCACTGGGTTATTAAACAGGGGGAATCACAGCTCTTTTCCTTCCAAACCATAGATGTTACTTCACTATTGTTAAAAATTGTTTTCTCTAAATGTAGAACAAAACACAAACGCATTAAAAAAATAAGTTCAGGCTTATTAATCTAACCAAAACTAATGAAGATTATGACCCTTATTGTTGTTGTTGTTGTTAGGTGCCATCAAGTTGACTATGACTCATAGCGACCCTTTGAACCACGGCTCTGAACCCTGCCCTGTCCTGCCCCATTGCCACAGTTACTGTGGCATCTCGTCCAGGGGCTTCCTGTCCTGCACTGACCCTCCACCGTCCCGAGCACGATGCCCTTCTCCAAGGACCAGTCCCTCCTGACAACATGCCTAAAGTATATGAGACAGAGCTTCAAAGTCCTGGCCTCCAAGGAGCAACCTGGGTTCACCCTCTCCAGGAGTCCACAGAGACTCACCTGAAACTGAAACCTAATCCTGAAACAGAATGCAACTCTGAAGCAAACGATAAACAGACTTATTAAATGATCAGTAACGCCTGAGAGGAAAGCATTCTCTAGAACCATCTACAGTGTAATAGCGAAAGGGCAGCATTTGCCCCGGGATAAAGTTTAGAAGGCTGGGATAGGAAAGAAGGCTTAATAGAAGTGAGAAACACACGGTGTACAAATTGTTGAAAAGAAAACCTCTGTAAACTTTCACTCAAACAGCAATAAAAGTTTGCATTATTTATATGTATGTATATGTATATGTATATGTATATGTATATGTATATGTATATGTATGTATAAATATATTTCTATTTCTGTTTCTAGTTCTATCTCTATATCTATCTATCTATATTTATATTTAGTTGCCAATGGGGCTACTTTCAGTCTGGGAAGATGAGTGCAGCAGCCAGATTCTGCTAAAGTGTGCTTTCTGGGTTTTGGCTGAGACTTGGGTGTGGTGGTTTTAATTGTTTTTAGTCAAACCTTCTTCTAAGTGGTATAGCCCTCGTCTGTCCATTTGCTGTACAGAGGTAACTCGTGGTTGCTGTGATGCTAAACACTGTGACACTGATGTGTCAAGTGTGAGAATGGTTACCCATGGTGGACAGTGTTTGGTGGAGCTTCTTGATTAAAACAAGCTTGGAAGAAGGAGTGGCATTCACTTTTGAAATAGCTTGCCTCTCCAGAAGCTCTATGAATTTGGGGAGAACTCCCCCCAGGGATTCCCACACTGTGATCTTCACAGACACAGACCACAAGGCCTTCCTCTCATTAGAGCATCTCCTATTGTAGTGGCTGGTGGATTAGAACCTGCAATCATCTAGCTGGCTGCTAATCCCACTCACTCCTCAGGTCTACCTGCTGGCAATCACTGATTGATTCCCTGCCTTGCGAATTTGCCTGTTCTAGAATGTTCAATGTGTGGAATCACTATCATGCAGCTTTCTGAGCAACTTAGTGTAATGTATTTACGACTCCACTATCTTTTCGTGTTTAGTGTTAGAAAGCCTCAGTACCTTTGCAGTTAATGGAGTGTATTTTCTTTTTCCGCTTAAACTGACATGTTGCTGCTGCTGTTGTTGTTAGGTGTTGTTGAGCTGACTAAAACTCATCACGGCCTTATGCCCTGCGCCTCCTCCGAGCCGTGCTCAAGCTCACGGAGGTAGTCACTGGGTCAGCCCATCCAGATGAGGGTCTTCCTCTCACTCACTGACCCTCTAACATGGGCTTTTGGCATCATTGAGCTACAATGTTTGATTGTTTGTTTGTTGTTTTACCCTGTATTCCTGTATCTAGGTCTTTTTTTCAGTAGTATTTGTCTGGAACCAGTAAGCTCCCCGGGGCCCTAAGTCCTGTCTTTATATTTCTTACAATTTCAGGAGCTCTCTGATGGCATTTCCATTCAGAGATCCTTGAAGACCCTCTGATTCTGGGTCTGCAGTAAGTTCTTGGTAAGGTCTGGACACCCTCCTTGCTGAAGTTCAATGGTTCTGCTGCAGGAGGAGAACGTGGCTTTGTCTGTAAACCCCCAGCAGAAGCTTTCCTGCTCACTGTACGGGATGCTTGTTTGCAGTGTTCATGTTTCCGTGAAATACAAGGAAACTGACCTTTGGCCTTGCCTCAAGGTTATTCTCGAGACTGATGATCACAATTGAGTATCATTTTTATACCACCCTAATCCTCGTGCTAATGCGAAACCTATACTTGGACCAAGAGGCAGTCGTCAGAACACAGCAGGGCAACAATGAATGGTTCAAAATTGGGAAGGGTGTGCACCAGGGATGTGTCCTATCTCCATACCTTTTCAACCTGTATGCAGAGCAGATTATCCGAGAGGCTGGGCTCTATGAGGAGACGCATGGCGTTAGGATTGGTGGACGATCTATCAACAATCTGCGTTATGCAGATGACACAACCTTGCTCGCTGAAACTGAGGAGGACCTCGTGCACTTACTGCAGAGGGTCAAGGACTGCAGCCTTCAGTATGGACTGAGGCTCAATGTCAAAAAGACAAAGATTCTCACCACTGGACCAATGGATGGCGAAGAGATTGAGATTGTTCACAGCTTCAGTTTGCTCAGCTCCACAGTCAACACTCTTGGCACCAGTAGCCAGGGAAATCAAAAAACGTATTGCGATGGGAAAGTCTGTTGTTAAGGACCTCTCTAAAGTACTGAAGAGCAACAGTGTCTCTTTGGAGACAAAGGTGCGCCTGATAAAAGCCATGGTCTTTGCAATTACTTGTTATGCATCAGAGAGTTGGACAATGACTAGGGAGGACAGAAGGAGAATTGACGCCTTTGAGCTGTGGTGCTGACGAAGAGTATTGAATGTACCATGGACTGCCAAGAAAACAAACAGATTCATCCTAGAGAGGGTTAAACCAGGCTACTCCTTGGAGGCAAGGATTATGGGGCTTCGTCTGACAAACCTGGGACATGTTGCAAGGAGAGACAGGTCCTTGGAGAGGGATATCATGCTTGGGAGGGTGGAGGGACAGCGCAGGAGGGGAAGACCCTCTATGAGGTGGATTGAGTCAGTGACTGGAGTAATCGGGATGGGTGTGTCAGAGGCAATGGGATTGGCACAGGATAGGGCAGGGTTTAGGGCTGTTGTACATAGGGTCACTATGAGTCTCAAATGACTCGACGGCACATAACAACAACAACAACAACAATCCTCTCAGAGTCCAGTTGACCTTGACTCATGGTGACCTTGTGGGAAGCCCACACGTGACTGAGTCCTCCCTCCAGCCTGTCTTGGATACTCTGCCTCAGCTGGACGCACCGAGTGTGATGGTGGGATGAGGATTCACTCTCTGGCTCTGTGCACCTAAGGCCCAGTGGGCAGAGGGCCAACTCACCTGTGTACTGTTCTGGAAGGCAGTGTGGCCAGAACTGTGTCCTGGAAGACTAGGGCAGAGGCCAGAGGAGCTGGGTGAACGGACCTCGGCCCTGTCTCTTGGTTTTCTAAAGGGTGTTTCCCTTGTTCCTTACAGCAACCTAAGGTTGATGTGAATCAATAAAGCTTGTGATCCCTGATTCTGGTCAGAGTTGGAACTCCCTGTTCCAGCCTCCAGCCTTTAGCCTTGATACTTGGGCCTTGATATTTCTGAATGGTGATGACCTTGAACCTCTGATGTTTTCTCAAATTCTATCCCACAACCCTCTAACCGGACTTGACCCTGAGGAGCACCGTGGCACACAAGTTGTCATACATGGACCCTGCTCTCTCACACACACGCACACATGTCCACTCTCGCACGTGCACTCACACACATGCACGTGCTCTGGTGCACACTCTAGACTTCCCCTCACGTACAGTCACACATGCTCCCCACATGCACTCACTGCACACACTCACCTACACCCTTTCTCATACACGTGTACGTGTGGTTTCAGACACACCGCCTCACGTCCCCAGTCACTATCTGTTCTCATCAGGAGCCACAGCCAGGAGGACATTACTCCCAGAGCCAGGCCCTGTGCCAGATTGTGGAGCATCTGCCTGATATCCTTATAACTGGGTGACCCCTGACAGGGACCACTGCTGGCAACTCAAGTCAAATAACCAGGGAGATCCGAGGTGGTCAAGAGCTGGCCTGGAGTCAGCCAGCCTCGCCTAGAATCCTGGAAGTGTCGCTCACGGGCAACTTAACACATCTGAGCCTCGATTCCCACCCACGAACGGGGTTATTCATAGTGCCCCCTCCAAGGGTGAGTTATAGATTCATTCAGCTTGGCTCAGAGGAAGGGGCAGTATATCCTGGAAACATGGGCAAGTGGGCAGAGGTTCCAGCTTAGGAAGAAGTTACCCAGCTTGCAATGTGCAGTATGTGGTAACAACAATCGGGGCCATGGTGCCTGCAGGGCTGGGGCCCAGGCTCGTGGAGTGAACCCCATCAGGGCCTAGGATGTAAATCAGCATGAGAGACAGTGGGGCAGACTGAGTTTCGATTTCCCATAAGAGGGTGGACCCTGTTTCAAAGTCACCTGCTTCCTCTAACAACTCTGTTCTTATCTTGCAGCCACAGCCCAAGCCTGGAGACCTGATTGAGATATTCCGCCCTCTCTACAGACACTGGGCCATCTACGTTGGCGATGGATATGTGGTCCACCTGGCCCCACCAAGTAAGGGCTGCTGTGCTGGGACCCAGGGCTGGGAGGAGAGGATATGAGGGAGTTCTGGGGAGCAAGTGGCCCTAACATTCTCTGTTCCCCAAAAGGCAGTCTGCTTACCGTTGGGCAGTAGTTTTCAGACCTTGCCCCTTGTAATCCCCGAATTTCCACAGAGAACCTGCGGTCAACATTCAATGGGTCAGCTCCTATTCTGTTTTCTATTTTATGCCTTTTATAAAACAGAAACAAACCTATATGGCTTGGAAAGGGTGCAGTGGGTGTGCTCTTTGGAGACAAGAATGATGAAGCTTCGCCTCACATACCTTGGGCATGCTGCTAGGAAGGGCTATTCCTTGGAGAAGGACATAATGCTGGGAAGGGTGCATGGCTGGCAAAGGAGAGGAAGCCCCTCAACCAGGTGGATTGACACGGTGACTGCTGCAATGGGCTCTTGTGTGTCAGGATGGTGCAGGAAGTAGCAGGGTTCAGATCTTTCATTCATAGGTCATTATGAACGAGTCATACTCAGCTTGACGGCACCTAACAACAGCAACATAGAACAGGCTCACCTCTCAGGTGTAAATCCCCTGGAAGAGCACAGGTGTTTGGGCAGACTTAGGTACAAGTCCAGTGTCTACCTTCCAACTTTTCTGTCTATGACTTTAATTAAATATTAAAAATATTTAACTTGGAGAGTTTTTATTGCACTTTTGTAAAAAGTTGGATAGTTTCCACATTCTCTTGTATCCCCTTTCTTAGGAATGGAACAAACATGGACCTCTTCCAATCCGTTGGCTGGACAGCTGTCCTCCAGATTTCCAGACATAGACTAGTGAGCACATCCCATGCTGCATCTGTTAACTGAAACAAGTCAACCGGGATACCATCAATTCCTGGGGCCTTATTTTTTGTCAGTGCCTTTAATTCAACTCCCACTTCTCTTTCATTACCATTGAATACTGTTTATACAGTACTTCCTGAAAGTTTTCAGTGTCAGTCAGTTCTTTGTAGTATAGTGATTCTGTGTATTCCCTCCCTCTTCTTTTGATACTTTATGGGTCTTTCAATATATTCTCTATAACATCTTTCCATATTGCTTGAGAAATGCAGAGAGAGTTCTTCCCTTTTTATTCTCCAGTTCCAGCTCTCTGCACATCCCATTTAATATTTTGCTTTGTCCTCCCATGCTGCCCTTTAAAATCCTCTGTTCAGCTCTTTTACTTCAGCATGTTTTCCTTTTGTTTTAACTTATTGATGCTCCAGTGCCTTTTTTTTGCAATTATTAGAGTCTCTTCTGACATCCTTTTTTTCCTTTCTCCTCTGTTTTAGTAATGACTTTTTGCCTTCTTCCTGGATAATATCCTTGATATCATCCCTCAACTCCTCCAGTCTTGTATCACTGCTGTTCAGTGTCTCAAACCTATACCTAAAATGATCTTAACATTCAAATGAAATAGATTCAAGGTCACATCTTGGTTCCTACGGACTTGTGCAGCCTTGGATGTGCTCACCAGTCTATGCCAGGAAATGTGGAGGACAGCTGTCTGTTCAATGGATTAGAACTAGTCTGTATTTGTTCCCAGTCCCAAGAAAGGTGATCCAACTACATGTGGAAACTATCAAACAATATCATTACTATTACATGCAAACAGAATACTGCTGAAAATCATTCAAAAATGGCTAAAACAGTACATAGATAGGGAACTTCCAGAAGTTCAGACAGGATTTAAAAGAAGTCATGGCACCAGGGACATCATTGCTGATGTTAGATGGATCCGGGCTAAAAGTAAAGAATACCAGAAGAATGTCATTTGTGCTTTATTGACTACGTAAAGGCATTTGACTGTGTGACTCATAACAAGTTGTGACTAACATTGAAAAGAATGGGAATCCCAGAGCACTTAATTGTGCTCATGCAAAACCTATACCTAGACCAGGAGGTTATTGTGCGAACAGAGCAGGGAAACACTGCATGGTTTAAAATTAAGAAGGGAGTGTGTCAAGGTTGTATTCTCTCTCCATACCTATTCGATCTGTATGCTGAGTGAATTCGCTGAGAAGCTGGACTCTATGAAGAAGAGTGTGGCATCAGGATTGGAGGGAGACTCATCAATACCCTGCGTTACACAGACGACACAACCTTGCTTGCTGGAAGTGAGGAGGACTTGAAGCACTTGTTGCAGAAGATCAAGAAATGCAGCCTTGATATGGATTGCATCTCAAAATCAAGAAAACAAAGATTCTTCCCACTGGACCAGTCGGCAGAGTCATGATGGATGGAGAAGAGATTGAAACTGTCAACAACTTGCTTTTCAATGCTGCCATAACATCAACGCCACAAGTAGATGATGATGACTTTAAAGAACAGGAAATTATTTTGTTGTTTTGTTTTGTTTTGTTTTGTTTTGTTTTGTTTTGGTTATTGTTTCTTTTTGTCTTTTACCAGGAAATTATTTTATCACCATTCTGAAGGCTCAAGTCCAGATCAAGGTCCTTAGGCCTTCCTTGGTTCCTTGGTGTTCTTGGTGAGATTCATCTCGCATACTTTAGACGTGTTGCCAGAAGGGTCCAGTCCTTGTAAGAGGACATCATGCTTGGAAGGGTAGAGGGTCAGCAAAAAAGAGGAAGATCCTCGATGAGATGAATCGGCACAGTGACTAGAGCAGGGAGCGTGAGCGCAGCAGAGATTGTGAGGCTGGTGCAGGACTGAGCAAGGCTCTGGTCTGCTGTGCACTGGGTCACTGTGAGTTAGAGACGACTGGATGGCACCTGACAACCGCAACAGCACTGAGAGCCCTTAGTCACGGTCACAAACCAGGATCTCTGACCTTTCCTTGCACGTGCTACCACCACCTTACCATGGTCCCTGGTTGCATAAGGTTTAAGGAGGTCCTCGCTGTCAAGTCAGATCTTGGCCTTGTCCCACGCTGACAGTAAGTCCTTCCTTAAATCTTGGGCTCTGGGCACCTAACTTGCCTCACTCAAGTCCTGATTCTGCCACCTACCCAGTCTGGGTGCTGAAAATGAAAATGTCTCAGGAGCTCACCTGGCCCCACTCCCTTTGACCAACAATAATCCTCTCTGCAAATTAAGGCCTCAGTATGTAGTATCATCACTTCATTGATTTCAATAAATCCCTCAAGCACCATCATCCTCTTGCTAACAAGTCTGAATACCTTAAGTTTTGCAGCCTGAGGTATGTACTCAGAACAAGGAGCTCAGTCCTCTTTGGAGACCAAGCAGAGCGGGACCTAGGATCTGACTGGTCAATCCTACCACTGCTTACTGCTTGTACACAATGTCACAGGTGAAGCCTGGTCCTGTCCGGATCAACAGGCATGGCCACACCTTCTCTTTCAGGAGAAAGAGCCTTCTCTTAAGACGCCGAGCCCAGGACTTCCATCTTCTCCTTTTTGAGTTTGCAGTCACTTTCTCTGCTATCACGTTCAAAGCATGCACTCTCACCACTGTGCCAGGCCAGAATAGCTGGGTCAGGAGAGTGTGTAATGGTGTTACCTCGACCACACAGTGGTCCTGTCCTCATGGCAAAACCCCTGATTTCCCTTCTGCAAAGCGATTTCATTTTGAGAGCTTTGTTGCTGCTTCTAGCTGAGGCATACCATCAAGTCAGAACCCACCCCTAGCTGACCCTCCAGCAGGTTTTCGGAGACAATAAATCACACAGGAGGAGATCTCCTATCCTTCTTCTGCAGAGCAGCTGGTGGATTCAAACCATGCACCTTTGAGATTGCAGTACAGTTTCTTACCACTAGACCACCAGAGCATGTCAATAAGCAGTCATGGGGATGAGTCCCTTTCTTCCCAGAAAGATGGGAAGCCCTTATACAAAGCCAGGTATCTTTCTTTCTGTTAAATGCTGTCGAGTCATAGACGACTCATAGTGACCCTATGAACGAAAGACCTGAACACTTGGATAACTTTCATCATTTCCCCTAGTTTATATAGTTTCCAGAGGCAAGCTATTTCAGAAGTGGATGCCACTCCTGCTTCCAAGCTTGTTTTAATAGGGGAGCTCCACCAAACACTGTCCACCATGGGTAATCATTATCACATTTGACACATTAGTGTCACAGTGTTCAGCATTACAGCAACCCTGAGTTACCTCTGTACAGCAAATGGACAGACCAGTGCTATACTGCTGAGAAGAATGTTTGACCAAAACCAATTAAGACCAGGCCTGAGGGCCGCAGATTAAAATCACCCACCTTTGGCTTGGTAGCATAACTTTCTATCTACTAGGCTAACAGAGCTCTCTTGTTGTTGTTGTTGTTGTTGTTGTTGTTGTTGCTGCTGTTGTTGTTGTTAAGTGTCGTCAAGTCATAGATGACTTATAGCGACCCTATGAATGGAAGACCTGAACACTTGTATGTCTTTCATCTTTTCTCCAAGTTCATAGAGTTTTGGGAGGCAAGCTATTTCAGAAGTGGATGCCACTCCTGCACTGGTAGAAGTTAAAATACGTTTAGAATGCCAAGTAATTTTTATGTTATTCAATCAACCAGTTGTTCAATATTTCAGATATTCAAGAACTGCTTATATTATAGGAATAAATAAAAGTGATGTTATATCTTTAAACTTGAATTTCTACTCAAATACACTCTCAAAAAATTTGAAGTTAATCTTTACCTTTATCTAAGATTCAGATGTGATTTTTTAAAGTTAATTATCAGTAAGAAATCACAGAAAATAAACTTCAGAATGCATGCATTAAGGAAAAACATGATTTTTTTGTTATTATTTTAAAAATCTCAAAGAGAGAGATCTGTAACCCAAATGGATCCATGAAAAAGTCACATCTGTTTTAAATTTTGAATGTGAGGAAAGGACACCACCAAAATAGAAAACTATAGGCCAATATCTCTTATGAACATAGATGCAAAAATCTTGAATAAAATATTGGCCAATAGAATA